CGTGTTTTAACTAAGGATGACGAAATTTCATTTCCGATTCTTAAAAAAAAAATTTAACGGTAGTGAACACGGAAGGTTACGGTGGGAGAAGAGGGGAGGGAAGGAGGAGAGGGAAAAAGGTTAAAAAGGAAAAAAAAAGGAAGGTAAAGAAAGAAAAATGGGAAGGAAAAAAAAAAAAGGAAAATCAATTACTTCAAACGGTTTTTTTCACGCCGTTTTACGAAAAAATTCCTTTTTTATTTTTTCCCGTGCTGTTGGAATTTTCCGAGACGTGTGCATCCCTCCCCTCCCCTTCACTCGTGCTCCCTTTCCCCCTCCTCTTCTCCCGGTGGGACCATCGAAATTTTTTCTTTTGGTTGGGAAAGAAAAAAAATGTAAGAGAAGACTCAAAGTTTTTTTTTTTTTGCCCGTTTGCCGTTTCTTTTCTTCTGTCACGTCGTTTTTTATTTGTCGGAGATGTTAAGGGGGGAGGTGGTGGCGGCATGGGGGGCAGGGGTGAGGGTGAGGAAACCTTTCGGAATGACAACTTGTCTCTTTTATTTTATACATTGTCTAAGTTGTCGGAAAAGTACGGAAACTAACGGGGGGGGAGGGGGAAAAAAAAACGACGTTTTATTTTTTAAACAGTAAATAAATAAATAAATAAATCGTGATCGATTCATCGATCGATTTAATAATAATCGGAATAAATTATTTAATTTAATTTCGATAGATAATATTTTATTTATTTCTTAAACGAAAAACAAATTTTATAAATTTAAATCTTTCCTTCCCCTTCCTTCCACCCCCTCCCCTCTCTGTCTGTCTTTCTCTCTCTATGAAAAAAAAAAGCTTTCAAGTAATGACCATAATATTTTATTGTCCCATTTACGCGCCATTCCATTTTTATTTTCGTACGCAGGCATGACAACATTAAATTTCCCTGCATGTTTAATTTCCCACCTGAAACATTAATCACGACAAAATTCCCTGCACCCGCCGCCGCCGCCGCTGCCACCGCGACCGATAATACAACATCGTTGCATCAGCTTTTTTTTTTTTTTTTTTTTTTGGGAGGGGGTGAGGGAAGTTGGTGGATTCTTTTCAACTTAAAACGTTTTCTAAAATTTATTTATTTGTAAAAAAAAAAAAAAAAAAAAAAAAAAACGTTGAAGCGGCGTTTTACCCTTAAAATTTTATACATATATTTTTTTTTTATTAAACGTAATCGATTTAACTCTCTCTCTCTTTTTCTCTTCACTCTCTCTCTCTCACTCCTTCCAAACCCGTAATTTTATACGTTGGATGCAAAAAAAAAAAAACAAATGAGCGAGCATAAAGTTGGCAAAAATAATAATAAAAAAAAAAAAAAAAAAGATACCGAGTGATATATTACGGGTGTAATAAAAATGAAGAAGAAGAGTAAGGGAAAAGAGAGAGAGAGAGAGAAAGAGAGAGAGAAACGCAGAGATTAGAGAATAAGATGAAACAGATGAAGAGGAAATTGGATGCTGTGAGAAGAGGAAAACGACTTTTAAAGATGAAAGAAACTTTCATTCGCATAAACATCTGTCCTCATTAATTTAAACTAAAACATATTTTATTTATTTATTGTTTTTTTGTAATTTTTACTCACTCTCTGTTGGTTGTTGGTTGGTTGTTTGTCTTTATCATCATCATCTCCTTCATCTTCTTAGACTTCCCTTTACTCCCCCATTCCCATCCCCACACCCTCCTCTTCCTCCTCTTTCTTTTTAACGGGTCCGAAATTTGAAATTATACAATGTTAACGACGACGACGACGACGACGACTGCGTTTGTTTTAATATTATATATTATTATAATTATCATCATTATTATTATTATTTAATGTTATGTAATAATTTTTTTTAAAATTACTTTTATTACGCGAATAAAAAAATAACAATAACGAAAAGGGAAAACCGGGAAAAAGTAAACGGATGAGGGAGGCGGGAGGAGAGAGGAAAGAAAGGAAGGGAGGGAGAGAAGGAAAAGGTTTAGAAAAACAGGAAAAACGTCAGTAAAATTGAATAGAAAAGAAGAAAGAAATTTATAAAAAAAAAAAAAAAAAAGGAAAAAGAAAAAAAGAAAACATAAATAACATTAACTTTCTTAAATAGTAAATAAAAAAGTCTTTTGAAGCTGACGTGGAAAAGGCCATAACTCATCATGAACTCTTCGGGGTTTGTACCAAGAAGAGGAAAAAAGAGGAGGAGGTGAAGGAGAAGGAGGAGAAGGAGGAGGAGGAGGAGGAGGAGTGCAGACCGCCTTTTGACGTGTAATAAATATATGGGCGACAAGGCGCGAAACATTTTTCAACTGAGAGAGAGAGAGAGAGAGAGAGAGAGAGACAGGGAGAGATAAGTTAAAAAGGAAAGAAAATAAATGATATAATTATGAAAAAAATCAGTTAAAATTTGTCGGATGTTGATGGCGATGGTGACGGTGATGGTGGTGGTGGTGGTGGTGACGGTGATGGTGATGGTCACAGCAAAAGCGAGCAACATGTCACCGTTGTCTTAATAATAATATTAATAATTAAACGAAGGAAGGAATATGTTTTTCGTTGTTTTTATTACTCCCATTCCTCCTTCCTTCTTCCTTCCCCCTCCCATACAAAGTTTTTTTTTTTTTTAAAACTATAATAATATTAATAAATATTAAAACTCCGACTTAATCTCTCTCTCTCTCTCTTCCTCTCCGACGTTGTTTCGTTATAAAAACAATTTATATAATGAAAAAATAAAAATAAAAAAATAAAATGAAGAGAGAGAGAGAGAGAGATGAAAAACATTTCAAGTCATAAAGAGAGAGAGACGATTCGCGACCCGGAGCAAGTGAATTATGGGCCAATTACGGTCCTGGTCTGGAGTAATAAAACACCGGTTCTTTCACTTTCGATGGAAGCACAAGTAAATAATGGCGACGTTATGGCCGCCGAGAGGAGGAGAAAAGGTCATTTATCATTTACGACCGAGGCCATGAATCAACATCAACCTTATCATCGCCATCTTCTCTCTCTTTTTTTTTTTTTTTTACCCCCCGCATGGCCCTCTAGTGAAGCCTAATTTGGACGACCCCCCTCCCGTCCGCCGTCCGCCGCCCATATTTCTTGCAATTAATTAAATCTTTATTAGAAATGGCGGATGTTTTTTATTATTATTATTATTCGTCTTCCTCGTCTTTTTCTTCTTTTTCTTTTTCTTCTTCTCATATTTCACTCCGAGCAAAGAAATAAATCAAAACGGCGGGTGAACCAGAGCCGTATTGAGTCACCAAAAAACCGCTCACAATTCTTTAATACCCTTGGCAACCTTTCATACATACATATATATATATATTTTTTTTAATTTCGTCGCGCCTACGTGTTTTTAAGGCGCGATTTTTATCTTTTTTAATAAATTTAAATAACCCGACCGGAGTTTTACGGTTTTTTATTATTTTATTTTTCGTTTAAGACAGTTATTGTTATACTTGTTGAGTTGGTTTTTTTTTGTTGTTGTTGTAATGTTTTCCCATCGTTAAACATTAATTATTTTATTTTATTTTTTAATTACGTTTTTTTGAAACGTTACATAAATTTTATTTTTTAAATTTAAATTTAAATTTTATTCTGCTTTTTTTATAATAATAATAATAATAATAATAATAACAATATCTACGTCGTGGCAAATACGTGAAAATTAATTAATTTAAAAAAAAAAAAAAATTAGATTTTGATTTGAAATGTCCCAAGAGACGTCTATTGGTAAAATAAAAATTTTTTAAAGAGAATAACGTCGCCATTTTGTTTTATCACGTTATTTTTTTAACGGTTTCAACAGATGGCGCGCATAACAAATTTTATCAAATAGAAAAAATTTACATTTTACTCGTAATTTATTTATTTATTTGAGATTTACGCGTTAAATTTTATACCGTCTTGTTTCTTTTTTTAAATAATAAATTAATTTTTTTTTTTTTTTTATTTTATTTTAAAAATTACTCTCCTCGACTTTTACGAAGATTAATTTATAAGCGCGTTTGAACAACATCGCAAAAAAAAAAAAAAAAAATTTATTATATGCTCGAAGGATTATTTTAGTAAGAAACTTGCAAATTTTCTCATCGTTGTTTTGTTAATCACGTTCATTTTATTATTATTATTATTATTTCCGTAGAATTATTTAAATTGGGGGGGGGGAAACTATCAAAAATAATCCGTATGTGATATAATGTAATTAATACATATACACCAGCGCTTTTAGCGGTCAATATTTTAACTATAAAAAAGACGGGTCATTAGAAAAATTGTGACGTCAGATTTTTATGAGAACGCGCGCAAAAAATGTAAACAAAACAAAAACATTTAGTTTATCGAGTATAAGTTTTTAATTAATAATAATAATTAAATTATTTTAATATTTAAAATTATTATATAATATTTATTCTTTAGCGCGACATATATATTTTGGGGGATGAGGGGGGGTAGGGAAACGCACGAAGAAAATAATAAAGAAAAAAAAGGTTTAAACGTGATTTCGTAAAAATAAGTTTATTATTGCGTAATTACAAAGACTATCGATACGTATAAGCTAAGTAAATGAACTCAAGTTCAATTTATATTGATTTTTTTTATTTACATAATACGTTCGGCATCGAATTGTGTTTTTTGTGTTTGCGTTTGTTTCAACATAAAAAACATAAATAAAATTTTTATTAAAACAATTGTTTGATTATGTTACGTAAAGAAATTTTCTTCTCCGGGTGATTGTGATTAACATAAAATTCTCGAAGTAAAACAATTATTCGATTTGATAACCATCGTGTTGTTATCAATAAAAAAAAAAAAACATTAAAAGGTATCATAAAATAAATATAAAAAAAATTAATTTAATTTAAATTTAATTTAAATTTATTTTAATTGATAAGAGATCAGTCGCAATATATATATATTTATTTATATATAAAAAAAAATTAACAAAAAAACAAAAACAAATTTTCTAATCATAATTTGAGCCTCATTTTTCTGGTTTAAGGTTTTGTTGTTGTTGTTGTTGTTGCTGTTGTTATAATCATAAAACATAAATGATAAATAAATAAAACTCGTGTCGTAAATCAATAAAAATTATTATTATTATTATTATGAAATTATAGTTAATTTAATTAAAATAAAAAAATACAAATAAAAAAAAAAATTCGGTACGTTAAACAGTCTTCCTGTTGAACCGGATAATTTTCCTTTTTTCTCTTGTAATCGTGTATCACCGCCTTTTTGACTCCTTAATTGAATACCTGATAGAGAAAGAGAGAGATAGATAGATAGATAAATAGATAGATAGAATGAATAAATAACCAATAATAATAATAATAATAATAATAGTAATAATAAATGACACGAAATTTATTCGACGTTGAAAATCGTTTACGTGTTAATCGTGTTTATGGCGACGACAGCATCGTAAATTTTATCATTATTATTATTATTGTTATTATCGATACAAAACGATGAGAATCTAAGAAAGAGAAAGAGAAAGAGAGAGAGAGAAGAAAGAAGAGAAAAAAAAATTTGAAATTTTTCTCACCTTTTTCCTTGCTAGGATAAGACGATTGTGTTTCGGTTAAAATTTTATTATCATTATCAAAATCGGTTGGGGGACGTTGTTTGTCTTTTGTTTTTTGTTTTTGTTTTATCATTTTTCCATTTTGTTTTTTATCATTTGATTTTTTATGGGGTTGAAAAGTCGATGATGAAGGCGATATCGTGAATAATGATTCCGTCATAGTCGAAAAAGGCTTTGCGGTGGTGGTAGTGGTAGTAGTAGTAGTCGTCGTCGTAGTCGATTTTGGAATATCTGAAACAAAAATTTGGATACGAATCAGTTTTTTTCCGAAAGAAAATTCTAGAATTTGGAAAAGAAGAAGAAGAAGAAGAAGAAAATTTTTTCTTACGATACAATTTAATTTCTCCATCGGTTTCCCCTAACGAATTCCTCGATATACATTTATACGATCCATAATCCGAAATCGTAACGGATTTTATCGTTAATTTCATTTGAACTTTGTACGCGTTATCGATAAGAACGGGTTCGTATTTACCACTTAAACCTTAAAACAAAACAAATCATTATTATTATCATTCGAAAAAAAAATTCACCCGTGTAAATAATAATAATTGAAGAAAATTTCTATCGGTTTTAAATTTTTAAAATCGATTTTAATGGGAGGAAGAGGGAGTGGCCGGCACGTTGTTTATCATTATCATTATCATTTCTGCTGTTGTCATTTACGTCACGACTAAAAACCTTTTGGAAAAAAAGGAAAGAAGGTTTAAATCTGTTGCATATTTCATAAAATATCAATTCGATTATATATATATATATAGTTTCGAGGGAATCCATTCGTATACGTTTTTATAATTCGTAATGAAAAGGAAAAAAAGAAAAGAAAAAAAGGAAAAGATTTTTCCATCGTCACCGATAGATATAACCTTTTATAATTGGTAGATTAACTTTCCGATTGAAAATTGTGACGTGAATATAATTAATTATTATTATTATTACGTTAAAAAAAAAAACAAAGTTGAATTTAAAAAAAATACCTTGAGCAATTGTTTCTCCATTTCTTGTCCAGTAATTAATTGATTTTGGAAAAGCTTCCGAATGACATTGTAGGGTCATGGGTTGACCTTCTTGAGCTCCGACGAGTTGATTTTGTATCCAAATCATCGGAGGAACTGAAAGAAAAAACATTGGCCCCCTCTCCATTATGACGTCAACGTCGGATTTTTAATTATTATTATCATTATCGTGTCAAGACTTACAGTGTACGATCAACATGATTCTTTTGCTGACGGAAGGAGGAACTCTGTTGGACGCTATGCAAAGATATGCTCCCATATGAAGACGGTTAACTTTTGTTATCGTGAGAACGGAACCTTCCACGGAAAGAGCTAAAAAAAAAAAAGGGCAACAGCCCAAAGAGGAGGACGAATTTTAATAATATTATTATTATTATTTAAATAATAATAATAATGATAATAAAAAACAATAAGAAATAATTGAATCCGTAACGGCGGTTACTGTCGTAAAAGATTTTTTTTTTTTTTTTTTTTTCTAAAGGTGTGAGAATGATGAAAAATTTTTCTCGACGCAATAATTTTGTTCAGCAAAGCAGAAAATAAGGTTTTTTTTTTTTTCGCGATTTTTCTGTATTCTGCTCCTGGTAACGGGGGGAAAAAATGATGATAATGATAATAAAGGTTGAGGCAAAAAAAAAAAAAGGGAAAATAGTTTTTTTTTGTGATAATAATAATAATGATTCAAAAAAGAAAAAAAATGAGGTAAAAAAAAAAGAAGGGAAAATTGAATTTTGGCGGAAGTCGCATCGTTAAAATTAAACTTTGAACTCTTCTCCCACCCCTTTTTGTCTCTCTCTCTCTCTCACCTCTCCACCTCCCTCCCACCATTTGATTTTTTTTAATATAAAAAAAAACTAATTTTGTATAAATTTTAAAACGACAGTTCAGGTACGAGACGACGTCGACGACGACGACAGAAATCTTTTCATATTTTATTATTATTATTTTTAAATATAAACTAAAATTATCTATTTCAGGTAGGGGGCGATGGTAAGGTGGTTGGGGTTGGCGGTGGCAGGGGGGGACGATGGTGGTGTTAAAAAAAAATAATCCGGATTTTCCTCATCCTTCGCGTTGTAGATCATTCGAGAATGAATCCGGTCGAAAGAACAAAAGAGAATTTTATTCACCTACGTGTTTTTTTTTATCATCCTTTCTCTCTCTCTCTCACTCTCTCACTCTCTCACTCTCTCACTCTCTCTTTTCGTGGGGGGAAACAACAGCAAAAATGGTAAATTGTCCGAAACGGAAAAAAAAAAAAAGAAAGAAAATTATACACGCCGGGGTGAATTTCAGTGATTTGGAAATTTTTTTTTTTAATTGCGAAAACATAATCGAAATTTATTTATTTTGAAAAAAAAAAAAAAAAAAAAACGTGGCAGAAGAATAAAAATAATTTTTTTTTTTTTAATTTTACCTTCTTCTCCGTTGCTTAAACTTATCGGTTCTCCCTGTTCGCGTTTCCAAACGATCGTCGGCGTCGGAAATCCTGTTGCGACACATTGTAAAGTCACGTTATTTCCTTCTCTTATCACCATATCGGTACTCGTCGGATAATCTAGTATATCCGGTGGTACTGAAATTTAATTTTTATTAAAAATCAATTTCCGAATTTTTTCCCGCCAAAAAAAAAAAAAAAAATTTAAATGAAATTCTCACCTACGACTTCCAAATATCCCATTTGACTCTTCATCGGATCCGTATTTATTTGGCACATGTACCATCCTCTATCCGATTCTCGAACGTCTCGAACGTTTAAAAACCAAGTTTTCTTATCACTATTCGTAACTGATATCCTGTGATTTTTTGTTATCACGTGAACGGCTATCGTTAAGATTGTCTGCGTGTCCACTCTCAGCCAGGCCACCTATACAATTTTTTATTTTATTTTATTTTTAACCGGAAGTTGAAAGGAGAAGGAGGAAAAGGGGAAGGAGGGGGGAAAAGGAAAATTGATTTATTTATTTATTTATTATTCTTTTGTTATTTTTTTAATAATTTTTAATAAATTAAAAAATTTATTTATTTAAGATTTTCATTTTAAATAAATAAATAAATTAAATTTAAATCTTTTTATTGAATTCATTTATTTATTTATAACAAAAAAAAAAAAAAATTTTCAATCTTGTTACACGAACAATAAAAAATTTTTTTTTCTCTCTCTCTCTCTCTTTCCCATTGTTGTTAAGATTTGTTGATTTTTCATGTAATTTAAAAAATAAATAACGATTATTATTATTATGTATTATTATTATTAAAAATAATAATGATGATGATGATGATGTTGGTTTGGTTTAATTCGCGCGAGTTAGTTACACGTTTTAACGTGTAAATAACTTTTACACGTGGAGAAAATAATTACGGATTATAAAAAAATTTTTTTTTTGCCCGGTCAAAAATTTTTTTTTTTTTTTCCCCCTCATTGAAAATAAAATCGGAGAAAAGCGGAAAAGGAAGAGAGAGAGAGAGATAGAATAAGAGGAAATGACGAAACAAACAAACAAACAAAACAAAAAAAAAATAAAAAATCTCGTTCAAGTGATTTTTTTTTTATTTTTATTCTGTTCTCTCGATGATGAGATTTTTTTTGTTTTTTCCTTTTAATTTTAACCTTTTAATATTTACCTTTTACATATTAAATCCTATTTATATAATGTAAAAAAAATTTTCCGCGTAAACAATAATAATAAATTGTGTTAGATGGGGAAGGAGGCGGACGGGCGGGGGGAAAAGAAAATCCAACAGCAAATGTTATATTATTATTATAAAAAGAATAAAAAAGTATTGACACGTGATCGGAAATAAAAATTACAATCTTTTTTCTTAGACGTGGCAGCAGTAGAATTGTGTAAAAAAAAAAAAGTTTTTCTTTAATTTTATTTCTTTTTAAATTATATAGATGAAGAAGAAGAAGAAAAAAAAAAGTCATTTTATAAAAAAAAAAAATTTAACTTTTTTTTTTTTTATTGTTTTTGCCGGATATTTTTTTTTTTTGTATTTTTTATTATCGGCCTCAGGTAACAGGCAAAAAAAAGGAAAAATTTGTTTTGTTTTTTTTTTTTTTTCAAAGGAAAAAGAAAATTTTCTTTCCTTTTTTTGTTGTTGTTGTTGTTTTTATTACAACATTTAAAGGAAATAGAACGAAAACCTCGTTAAACGACCTAAATAAAAATTCGATTCCTTTGATTGATTCATTCATTTCTCTCGTTTCGAACATTTAAAAAAAAATTATTATCATTATTATTATTATTATCATTATCATTATCGTAAACGTCATCGGAACGATTATTATTATTATCATCGTTAATGATATTAATTCTAGAAAATTCGATTGAATGAATTCACATCGAATAATAATTTTTTTTTGCTCGTCGTCTGTGTCAATTTTAATTTTTTTTTGAATTTTTCTTCTGCTTTTTTCCCCCCCTTTCACCCCCCCCCAACCACTCTCGTCTCTCTTCTCCTTTAACAACATCAAAAAAAAAAAATTTTCTTCTTCTTATTATTATTATTAATAATAATAGCAAGAAAATTTAATGAAAGCAAAAAAAAAAAAAAATTAATTTTTTGTCTTTGAAAAATTATTAAAAATAATAAGTGGCGGGGGGTGGGGGCGGTTGGGGGGAGAAATAATAATAATAATAATATTAATAAATTGAAAAACAAAAGAAAAACATTTTATTTAATATCAAAATGTTATAAAATAATAATAATAATAATATGAATGAGTAAAAAAAAAAGAAAATGAATAATTTTCATATTCCTGGAAAAAAGAAAAAAAAAGAAAAAGAAAAACTGGAACTTTTATTAAAAGTAATTTGAAAGGTGGAGATGAGTTTTTTTTTTAAAAAAAAAAAAAAAATGAAATGATGATGATGATAACGAACGTTTCGCGCGTTTTTTATGGGGGGAGGAGGAACCGAAAAAAAAAAAGATTCGATCGAAAAAGGAAAAAAAAGGGGGAAAAATATTTTTTTTTTATTTTTTTTCTCTCGTATTCTTTTCCTGTCGTTTGTTGCTGTTGTTGAGAACTTCATAAAAAGTGTTTTATGGTAAAGGGAAAAACCATAAAACAGCGGCCAACACACACACACGTGCGCACACGCACACGCACACACTCACGCACGGGAACGCACGAACGAACGTACGAACGAACGACCGAACGTCCCACCTATTAAAACAAAAAACCTTTTTCAAATTTATTTTTATTTATTTTTGCATTTTACCAAATATAAATATTTTTGTTTGGTTCATTCAATTTTTTTTTCTTTTTTTTTTTCGGATTTTTCGACCCGCCCCTTAACCCTTTCCGCCCCTTCCCCATGTTTTCCCCTTCTCCCTTTTCCCCCCGCAAAAACAAAAAAAAAAAAAAAGTATTTTGAAATTTATTATTTTTGGAGGAATTCCTTCCTTCCTTCCTTTTTTCTCACACATTATTCCATTCCTCCTTGTCCTTATCCCCCCTTCCCTCCCTCCCGTTTCCTCTCTCCCCCTTTCCCTAACTTTCCTTTGTTCTATCTTTTTTCTCATGCTTTTTTCCTTTTTTTTTTTTTTTTTTATATTACATTAAAGCGGAAATTTCAAAAAAAAAAAAATGGTTTGGGAAATTCCAACATCCTGTATTTATAACCGTCGACCATTTTTTCTCTCTCTTTCTTTCTCTCTTTTCCTCTTTCTCTCACTTTTCTATTTTTTTTTTTTTTTTTTTGTTAAAACTACCTTTTTTCTGTCAAATTGGTCAATTGCCTCTCTCTCTTTTTTTTTTACCGAAACGATAATAAAAAAAAATTTATATTTTCGGCTACACTCGTTCGTTCGATTTAAAAAAAAAAAAAAAAATTTCTGATTGATTGTCAAAGGAAAAAAAAAGGAAAAAACGTACGCGACCGGAAAAATTTTTTTATAAAAAAAAAAAAAAAGATTTTTAATCGGTCGGGAACAAAAAAAAAATATTTTTTCAATAAATATATTTTCCTTTTTTTTCCTTTGATTAAAATCCAATGTATTACGGATTAAATTCTTTTTTTTTTTCCTTTGACTGACCTTTCTACTAATCACCTATCGGGATTATTATATAAACTATAAAAATAATGTTATGAAATGCTTTGGGATTATCTTTTCAAAAAATAAATAAAATATTTTCCTTTCCTTTCCTTTCCTTCCTTTTTTTATAATAAACTTTCTACCTTTAAATTGTTTTCCTTTTTTTTCCTTTTATCATCATCATTATTATCATCATTTTCCTTTTTCCTTTTTTTCAATTTGAAAAGTTTTAAAAGATTTTTTTTTTTTTTTTTTTACCTTGTACGTTGATAAATTATCAACAACGCATTCCAACGTTGCTTCTCTTCCAACGGTTATTGTCACGTTTTTGATGGGTCCAACAAATTCAGGTACGTCTGAAAATAATAATAATAATAAGTAAATAAATAAATAAATTCGAAGGAGAAAGTAGGCGGGAGGGGATGGGGAAGAGAAAAGGGGAAAAACAAATTAATTTTCTTTAGTAAAAAAAAAAAATTTTTGTTTGAGATAAAATTCTATTTAATTCTTTTTTTTTTTTCAATTTTCTTTTCGAATTTTACCCGAAAACTCATCAGCCTCCCTCTCTCTCTCTCTCTCTCCCTCCCCCCAGCCTCTTCCCACTCTTTTTCTCATCTTCTCTCTCTTTCTCTCTCATCTAAATTTTTTTTTTTATTTTAAATGGGCTTATTTACTCGCCGGGGTGCAGAATGAAAAAAAAAAATTTAAATGTATTGATTCAGAAGGTTTTTCTCTCTCTTTTTCTCTCTCTCAGCTTTTCCGGAGCTTTTCTTTTTGAAAAAAAAAAATAAAGCTGTTTGAAATGGATTTCTTATCATTGGGATGAAGAAGAAGAGAAAAAGAGAAGAGGGGGGGAGGGAAAAAAAAATAAAACGTGGAAGAAGAAAAACGAATAAGTGGGGAAAAAACGCGAAAGAGTAAAAAGAAGAAAAAAAAATTTTTTTTATTTTATTTTAACTTACTTATTTATTGAATCTTCATTTCAATTTTTATTTTTTTATTCTTGTTTCCTTTTTTTTTACGACAAAGGAAAAAAATTAATTAAAGGAATAAAAAAAAAGGAAACAAAAAAAATAAAATAAAAAATTTTTTTTTTGTTTATTTTTCTCCTTTTTTTTTTTTATTTTCTTTCTAAATTTAAAAGGAAACGTTACGTATTTTTTTAATAATATACGTAAATTTTTTGTTACCATTGAAAACATTCCATTGGCAATTTATAATTAATTCAAATCGAAAAATTAATTTTTTTTTTTCCGTATAATTTTCAAATTATAAATTTCGTGCCAAAAAAAGGAAAATTTTCCTTTTTCTTAAATATCATTAAAAAAATCTGGTGTCAAAGGAAAAAAAGGAAGGAAGGCAAAAAACCCTCCTTTTTTCTTTTAATTCGTTTTATTTATTTATTTTTTATTTCTTTCTTAAATATCTTACGACGTCTGAATAATAATAATAATAATAATATTATAATTTTAAAAATTATCCTCGGCGTAAATGTGACGTAACGTAAATAAAATTTTAAAAAAAAAATATTTAAAAGAAAATAATGATGATAATGATGATGTTGTTGTTGATGATGATGATGATGATGATGATGACGACTTGTATATATATAAATAAAAAGGGATGTAAGCTGGAGAAAAAAGTCAGGATTTTATTTCCAGGCGTGCTTTAAACTGATAAAAATTTAAATCTGACAAATTATTAAGATTTTTTAAATTATTATTTCCTCCTTCTTTCATTTCTATTTTTTTCTACTATTTCCACGTTTTTTTTATTATCGTATATACATGTACATAAACGAATTATGATAATGATGATGAGAATGGAAAAGGAGTAGGAGGGGAAAAAAAAGTGGGAGAAGAAAAAGGAAAAAAAAACGTCTGGACCAGTTTATTTATTTATTTTTTTTTTTTTTTTTTTTTTTTTTAAAAAAAAAGAAGATTTGTATCATAAATCGAAATGAAATTTTTTTTCCCCCCTTTTTTTTTATTTTTATTTTTTTTCTCCTTCCCCGTCTTTTTTTTTTTTTTTTTTTTAAATTTTTTTTTTTTTTTTTTTTTTTCTAATTTGGCCAAATCATTTTTTCCAGACTATTTGAAATCCGCTTAAAATTCTTAAGGTGTTTTTTTTTCTCTTTTCCATTCCAACTTTGCTTCAATTTTTCGTTTATCGTTTTTTTCCTTTTTTCCTTTTTTTCCTTTTTTTTTTCTTCCTTTTTTTTATTCTTGGAAAAGTTTAACGTTTTTTTTTTTATTTATTTATTATTTATTTATTCCAGTTTTATTTTATTTTTTGGAAATTACGTAAAATTATCATCATCGAAAAGTGGTTTTTTTTTTTCTTTTTCCACGTAACATTTTCACGTTTCAGCCGTTTAAATAATTGAATTTTTTTTTACTTCCCGCCCCCTCTCCCCCCGTTCTCCCACGTACCTATTCCCTTTTTTTTTTTTTTCTGGAACGACACTTTGAATTTTTTTTCCCATCCCCCTTGCTCCTGCTCCTCCTTCTCTTCCTTTCTCTCATAGGTTAATAATTATAAATCGATTTGTAATTTTTTTTTTTTTTCCATCTCTCAATCGTATTTAAAAAAAGAATAATAATAATAATAATAATTTATCACGTGGTTATAGAACGGAATAAAAAAAAAAATTATTTTTTTTTGTGAAAAATATTCGACATATTTAAAACGTTCCACGTTAATTTTTCATTTTTAATTAAAATTAAGACGTTCGTTCGTTCGTTACCTTCCCCTCCCCCCCATTTTTTCCCACCTGCCAAAAAAAAGAAAAAAATTTCGATGAATGATCGAATCGAATGAAAAATAATCTAACCGCAACCCTGAATAAAAATGAACGTGGCTAAATCCACGTCTATTTATAAAAATGTATGTGCCACGAAAAAAAAAAAAAAAAGAACGACGAAGACGACGTTTCATCATCTTAAAAATTTGATAGAAAGAAAGAAAGAAAGGAAGGAAGTTTAGAATGAAAATATATATATATATATATAAAGGCGTGGAAGTAGAAAGGTCGGGAAGAAATGTAAACGTATAGGGAGACGGGGGAAAGGGAACGGGAGGGGAGGAAAAATCCCGAAAAGGTAAATTTGAAAATCATAGCTTTGGAAAATAAATGGGAGGTGTGTGTGTGTGTGTGTGGGTGGAAGGTTTTAAAACTTACTTAATGAGAAAAAAGAGAAGAAAGAAGGGGGAAGAGAGAGAGTGAGGGGTAGAGGGGGGAAGAGAACGAAATAAATTTTTCCGTATTAAATCGAATCCGTCGGAAAATGAAAGGACAAATGATGGATGGGAAAAAAATTTTTTTTTAGAAAAATGAAGGAAAACAACAAGGTGAAGAAGAAGAAAATTTTTTTTTTTTTTTTTTGTATTGTTGGTAGACATGTTTTCTTTTTTTTTATTTTTTATTTTATTAAAACCAGATTTTCCGTATTAAATTAAGATTAAAGTTTACAAGGGCAACAACAAACAACAAACGCACGAAAATAAAATTAATTTGTATTTAAAAATAATTTCTTTTTTTCTTTTTTTTTTTTTTTTTACCGTTTTATTCACATCCGGTTTCAATTTTTCAACTATATTATTTCCGGTGGTTGTAATTTAAGATTTTTTTTGCCTCCGCCCCTCCTTCCTCCCTCCCCACTTTTTTTTTTTTTACTCGAATTTAAACCCCGTTTTTATTTTATTTTATTTTTTTTTTACACGCTTGTGTTTTTATCATTTTCTTTATTTGCAATCACCCGCCATTTTGTTTTTTTTTTTTTTGTTCGGTCCTTTGTCGTCGTATTGAATCCTAAACATTGTTGTTGTTGTTTTTTTTTTTCTTCTTCTTCTTTTCTTTTATTTTATTTAAATCTTTTAATGGATTTTCTTCTTATTTTTTATTTTTTTTCATGTAACTTTTTGTTATTTTCTCTTTTGTTCTTTAGTTTTCATGTGTGTGTGGGGAGGGGGAGGGGGAGGAGGGAAGGGGGTGGCGAGACGAGTATTTACGCGTGTACGTGTGCGTGTATTGATCGAATCATCATCATCATCACCATTGATTCGGATAATGTTTTATATATTTGATTAAGGTCCAAAAAACCTGACACGAAGAAGTAAAAAAAAAAAAAAAAAAAAAAAAAAAAAAAAAAAATAAGATATATGAGAATGAGAAGACATCGCATGCCGAATGTAATGAAGACGGAAGATTTGTTGCCTGTAAAAGGCCACTAACTCAAACAAGATTGATAATGGATTAAACGAAGATGGAAAACCGCCGCAAATCGACGCCGCCGTACGCGCCGCCACTGCCGCCGCCACCGCCACCGCCGTCACACCCTTCGACGTTTCCGATTCCGCCGTGTTTTATTTACGACTTGTAAAAACCTCAAGTTAACATTATTATTATTATTATTATTATTCGGTTTTTCTCTTTGGTTGGGCGTTTTGCCCAATCAGGTGAATTAACTTTTGCCAAAGAGTTAAATTAATTAAAAAAAAAAAAAAATTACACCTGTAGAATAAATGTTTTTTTTTTTCCAGTGAGAGAGAGAAAGAGAAATAGAGAGAGAGACAAAGAGAGGGATAGAAAAAGAGAGAGAGTTTTTTTCCAGGTTTATTATTCCAAAACCAAAAAAAAAAAAAAAAAATTACCAATGGTGGTCAATAACCCATCAAATACAAATAATTAATAAATACGAATTTAAAAAATTACGCGCCATAAAAAATTAAATTTTCTAACGCGGGAAAAATCCGATGTTGCCAAATCGTTTTCCATAGAGTAATAATTAAAAAAAAGGAAAATATCAGAAAACAATTTTTTTAAAATTTAATTTAAAATTTTTATTTTTATTTTTTTTCCTTTTTTTTCCCTTTTTTTATTCTTTTACGTTTACAAAAAAAAGTGACGATAATAATAATAATAATAATGATGATGATGATGATGATGATAATTTAAATGTAGTAGTCCTTAAAAAAAAAAAAAAATTTAATTTAAAAAAAAAGAAAAAAAAGAAAAAAACAAAAAATAATTTTTAATTATGATTGGTGTTGACGTTGTAATAAAAATAAAAAGTTTACAAAAGGTTATTTGTTTGTTTGTTTGTTTGTTTGTTTTGTTTTGTTGTGACAATTTTAAATGTTAAAAGCAAACTTTTTTTTTTTTTTCTCTCATCTTATTCCGTGCTTCTTCATCTCGCCTTTTCTAAAATGTATAAAAAAAAAAAAAAAAATTACATGGAAGAAAAGGTTGTTTGAAACAAAAAAAAAAAAAAGAAAAAAGAAAAGGGTAAAAAAAGGTAAAAAGGATGTGAAAAGAAACGATAAAAGATGAAAGGAAAAAATAAAGATAATTAGT